GCCCACACAAAAAAAAAAAAAAAAAAAAAAAAAAAAAAAAGGAAAGCAAGCTGAGATCAGGAGCCTAATGATTGCACTCAAAGAAACATAAACAGTAAAAACAATCCAGAAACTCCCACCTTCCCGAACATGTCACAGCATGTTCAGACCAACCAAAGTCCCGTAAGGGAGTTTCAGCTCTACCTGATGCACCAAGCAGGTGCACAGGTAGGGGTGTCAGAGTTGTGATCATAGGGCATGAATGGTTCTAAGATACAAATGGAATGATACAGTTTATTTTTTGACTCTGTAGCCCTCTGCTTAATTTTAGTATTTTTAAAAAAATTATTATTTTTTATCATGCCAGACATGGTGCTAGGCATTTTGACATGTTATTTTTCTTAATCCTTACATTGGCCCCTGGAATAGGTTGTGCCCTTACCATTTTGGAGCTGAGGAAATAGGCATGAAATGATACAGTGCTTGCTTAAACTCACAAAGCTCGTAGCTGACAACACTTGAACCCGGGTCCACTGACACTATGTTCATTGCTTTTGCTTCTCCGTCCCTTTCCTCTGTGCTTGGCATCAGCTGTTCTCATGGTCCTTTGTCTATCTCAGGGCCCTGGTGGGACTTTCTGCTCTTCCTTCAGTAAGTGTTTGTATGTACTAATTAAGCGTTATCTCACCCTCCAGCAGAGTTCTTTTCACTGATTGAGGAAGAGCTCAATTATGCAGCAAGAGGAACTGACCTTATTAGGTCATTAAAAGAAATCTAGATCCAATGTGAAGACTCATTAATATATTTTCAGGAAATATTTACAGTTAAAATGAGCTGATTATGTCCATTGCTCTATAATGGAGATTAAAAGGGAGCTGTGTTTGTACTGTACTTTGTCCTTTAACTGTTCTTAGATGGAATCACCATAATAAAAATAATTATTTTAAACTTGCTGCTATACTTCAGAAAGTTTGCTGCCCTATCCACTTCTTCCTATGTTACCATATGAGAACAAGGTCCCCGCCCCTAGGAAGGGGGTGTGGTCAGTAGTGTCCAGTGTACTGATTCTTTGCCAAGAGTTAGTTTAGTATGCTTCCCTCTTGTCACATTCAACTGTGTATGCCTTGTTCTTCTTCAGGGTAACGCAAACCTGGATATCCAGAATGTGAACCAGCAGACTGCCCTACACCTTGCTGTTGAGCGGCAGCACACCCAGATTGTGAGGGTAACGTGTCTACTAAAGTGAATCTTTGCTTATTAAATCATACTTTGTTAGATTTCTCAAAAGGCATAGCTGGAGGTAAAAATTATGATTTTAGGCTAATGTTTTACATCAGTTGGGTAAAGAGTTTTAATTTGTAATAAGGAAAATCTTAAGATTCTGATATTCAAAGTCTATAATGTTGTTGCCAGATTTGTAAATTGCCGGAATATTAAATCAGAGGATTTCAGAGTAACTTACAAATTTGTTTTTTTAAAAAGTATACTCCCTTTTAATTTTTATGATTGAGAGCGAACTGTAATTAAAGGCTTCGGCTAGACATTTGCCAAACAGATTCCAAAAAAGCTGACATGTATATTTTTATTTTACTAATCTGGTGATTCCAGTCAAAATACTTGAAAGATTATCTGTTTACAACTTTTTTGTAGAGCAGTGATTCTTAAAGTTTGGAGGCTGAAGCAGCAGCATCAGCATCACCTGAGACTTTGGTAGAAAAGTCAATTCCTGGGCCCCACCTCAGACCAACCAAATCAGAACCTCCAAGGGTGGGAACTAGCAATCTGTGGTTTAACAGGCCCCCAGGTAATTGTGATGCATGTTCAAATTTGAGAAACTGTCCTGCAGAGACATTATATAATCTTTTTGAAACAAAGCAAGCAAAACAAAAGAAAACAGTAATTTGCCAAGACAGGTAGGACCATGTGCTTGAGATTGGTTTCTTTGTATGGTATTTTTCTAAAACTCTGATAGCATTTACAGAAATGATGAGGGAACTTGTTAAAGCACTGTAAGCAAAGTTTTATGTTTACCACTTAAAATATTGATTGAGGGCTTCCCTGGTGGCTCAGTGGTTAAGAATCCACCTGCCAATGCAGGGGGCACGGGTTCGAGCCCTGGTCCGGGAAGATCCCACATGCCGCGGAGCAACTAAGCCCGTGCGCCACAACTACTGAGCCTGCGCTCTAGAGCCCGCAAGCCACAACTACTGAGCCCATGTACCACAACTACTGAAGCCCACGTGCCTAGAGCCTGTGCTCCGCAATAAGAGAAGCCACTGCAATGAGAAGTCAGTGTACCGCAACCAAGAGTAACCCCCACTCGCTGAAACTAGAGAAAGCCCGCATGCAGCAATGAAGACCCAACGCAGCCAACAATAAATAAATAAATATATTATTTTTTAAAAAAAATTGATTGAGATATATTGATTATGTGTTATATGTAAGAGATTGCAGTTTAGCAAACACTTCACGTTTATTATTATTTAAAATTCCTCTTGCCAAAAATTCTTCATTTCTCTGATATTTGGACTTATAACCCTTATAACCATACATCTGGAGAAAATTAACCAAAGAGAATGGAAATAAATAACTTGCTTATTTAAATAATAAAAGAATTTTGAATGTCATGATTTGGTCCTATTGGAAATACTTAAAATATCCCAACTCACATATCTGAAATTAAAATGAGGAAAAAAATGTCCTAAATTTCTCCGTTATCTTGATCTTAGAGTAGATTAATTGAGCAACATTTTGGTTCTTATTTCTTTCTGCTTTCTGTAATTCAGTATATTTGAATAACCAGGTTCATCATTATTTGTAAGGAGTCACAGGGTTGGGTATAGAGTAATTTAGCAAACAAATACATAAGAATAATTAACTTTCATGGCAACCCCGTCAGATAGGTCCAGGGCTCTCACACTGTTACTTTAGAGATGTTGTAACTTCTTGTGGGTGGAATACTTTAGCAAAATAAGATGTTTTTCTCTTCTAGCTTTTGGTCCGTGCAGGTGCCAAATTAGATATTCAGGATAAGGATGGGGATACTCCTTTGCATGAAGCTCTGAGGCATCACACTTTGTCTCAGCTACGTCAGCTTCAAGATATGCAAGATGTGGGGAAGGTCGATGCTGCCTGGGAGCCATCCAAAAACACCGTGAGTAAAGATAATCTTTAACTCAGTGCCAGTGGGAACATCTTTTAATGCAGAGGCTTATATTTATGGCTAATTTAACTTGCACCTGATAAGATATTTCATCAGAGCTACAAATGTACAAATTTAGTTTATGAGCTAAATACTAGTCAGTGCTAACTGTATTGTTTTGCATTCTTACTAAAAGTTGTTTGGTTCTCCTTTTATACCTTTAGCCATTCAAATAGGAGTATTGTGGTATCTTTTTGTGGTTTGAATTTGCATTTCCTTATGACTGCTGGTATTGAACATCTTTTCATTTGCTTGTTCACCACTCATGTATATTTGATGAAGTGTCTCTTCAGACCTTCTTCATTATTTTGTTGAGCTGTTTTCTTACTACTAAGTTTTGAGGGTTCTTTTTTTTTTTTTTTTTTTTTTTTGCGGTACGTGGGCCTCTCACTGCTGTGGCCTCTCCCGTTGCGGAGCACAGGCTCTGGACGCACAGGCTCAGCAGCCATGGCTCACGGGCCCAGCTGCTCCGCGGCATGTGGGATCTTCCTGGACCGGGGCATGAACCCGTGTCCCCTGCATCAGCAGGTGGACTCTCAACCACTGCGCCACCAGGGAAGCCTGGCAGGTGGATTCTTAACCACTGCGCCACTAGGGAAGCCCTCTTTTCATTCTTTTAACAGTATTTTTCGAAGAGCAGAGGTTCTTAATTTTAATGAAGTCTGATTGACCAGTTTTTCTTTTATTGTTTGTGTCCTGAGAAATCTTTGCTAAATCCAAGGTCACTAAGGTTTTCTCCTATTTGGTACTAGAAGTTTATAAAGTTTTAGCTGTTACATTTAGGTCTGTGATTCATTTTGAGTTAATTTTTATATGCATAATATGAGGTATGGGTCAAAGTTCTTTTTTGTTTTTTGTTTGTTTGTGGATATACAGTCATTCCAGCCCCATTTGTTTGAAAAGACTTTCTTTTTCTACTGAATTGCCTGTTGTGCCTTTATCTAAAATCAGTTCCCTTCTGTTGATCTTTGTCTTTATCTATGTGATGTCAACCCACTGTCTTGATTATAGTAGCTTTGTAATAAATGTTGAAGTCAGTGGTGTAAGTCTCTTCTTCTTTTTCAAAGTTGTTTGACTATTCCGAGTCCTTCATGTTTCCATATGAATTTTAGAATCATTTTTAAGAATGTAAAGGGTTCTGAGACCAAAGTGTTTGAGAATTGCTGCCTTTCTAATGACCATCGGTAAATACTGTAACTCCTATGTGCCTCAGTTTTCTCATTTTGAAACGAGTGGAAGTGAGTAACTACCTCCATAAGGTTGTAAAGATTAAATGAGTTAAGTCATGGAAACTGCTTAAAATAGTTCTTAGTCCATTGTAGATGCTCCATAAATATTAACAATTATTATGACTATTATCAGACAAGATGTGTGAGTCAGAAGCTCAGATGACAGTAGGACCTGATCTGTCTCATTCTCCACTTCGTGGCTTAATTCTTGGTTCTTGGTTCATTTCTCAGTTGTCTCTCCCCTTTTTGTTTCACGTTGGTTGCTAGCAGTTCCAGAGACAAATTGAGTAGAAAAGGGAGACTGTCTCCTCAATATCTCAATCAGAAGTCTTGTTCTTGAGTTTTATTGGCCTTAATTGACCTGACTTAGGTTATGTGTCACCCCTGAACTAATCACATAGATGAGGTGGGTCTCTGAGTGGTGTGAGCCCTCTTTGGTTCATCTCTAAAACTGGAGATGGGTCAGTCCTCATACAATACACCTGAGGAAATTGGGGGGTAGGTGTCATGGAGGAAGGATACTAGGACTGCAACTCATAAGTGTCCACCACATCTATATAGTCTTGCCAGACATGTTTTTTACCACACATACATATTCATATATACATACATTTATACGCAAGCACGTGCACACCACACACACATACACACACATTCTTTCATATATATATATATATATATATATATATATATATATATAGGGTGATAAGAATTGATAACAGATTCCTAAAGGGGAAATAATGACCTTTTTCATTTGATTTCAGTTAATAATGGGACTTGGTACCCAGGGAGCCGAGAAGAAGAGTGCAGCATCTATTGCCTGTTTCTTGGCTGCTAATGGTGCTGACCTTAGCATTCGAAATAAGAAGGGTCAGTCGCCACTTGATCTCTGTCCTGATCCAAGTCTCTGCAAGGCACTGGCAAAGTGTCATAAAGAAAAAGTCAGGTTTGTATTATTATCATAAAACCTAATATTCTGTACATAAAGTATCATGTGGTTCCACAGTTATAGGGAAATTAATATAATGAGGTATATACATTTCTTTTTTATTCTATTCTGTTTTATTTTTTATTGAAGTATAGTTGATTTACAATGTGTTAATTTCTGGTGTACAGCAAAGGGATTCAGTTATACATATATATACATATTCTTTTCCATTATGGTTTATTACAGGATATTGAATATAATTCCCTGTGCTATACAGTAGGACCTTATTGTTTATTTTATATATAGTAGTTTGTATCTGCTAATCCCAAACTCCTAATTTATCCACCCCCCCCCACCTCTTTCCCCTTTGGTAACCATAAGTTTGTTTTCTATGTCTGAGTCTGTTTCTGTTTTGTAAATAAGTTCATTTGTATCATATTTTAGATTCCACATATAAGTGATATCCTATATTTGTCTTTGTCTGACTCTCTTCACTTAGTATGATAATCACTAGGTCCATCCATATTGCTGCAAATGGCATTGTTTCATTCTTTATGGCTGAGTAGTATCCCATTTTATATAGAGGTATATACATTTCTTTAAGTATATTCTTTTTTTTTTTTTTTTTTTTTTTTTTCCGTTGCGGAGCACAGGCTCCGGACGCGCAGGCTCAGCAGCCATGGCTCACAGGCCCAGCCGCTCCGCGGCATGTGGGATCTTCCTGGACCGGGGCACGAACCCGTGTCCCCTGCATCGGCAGGCGGACTCTCAACCACTGCGTCACCAGGGAAGCCCTTTAAGTATATTCTTAAGGGGCATTTTATTAGAGCAAGGCAGAATGCATCTAAAAATATATAGATAGAGGCACTGTAATTACTGCAGCAATAACTTAAACACTGAGGTGTAAGGGGAAACCACTTTGAATGTGTGCATGTGAGCCCGCGTATTCATGAGTTTCTGAAGATCCTAGTGGAAACAGAGTGTCCCTTTTCTATCTGTATCTGTAGTTGGTTGTGCATATGTATTTTTATGTCTTGTATATATATATTTATAGACGTGTTCTGTCTTTCTGTAATAGAATTTTATGCTCCTTAAGGATACACTTAAAAGAAATGTCAAAACAGCAGCTGCAGTGACATATTTTCCAAAGTGCCCTGTCAGTTGTGGACTCTGATAATGCTTCATTCTGTCTGTAGTTAGCATAACTAACATGGGCTCTAGTTAGGATTTTTGTTTTATTCCTATATCCTGTGTCTTCCTCAAATTGTCCTATATAGATAAAACAGTTTCTGAGGGAAACTTTATGTTAATTTTTTTTAAACTAGTGTGTTTGATTTCTTTGTTAGAAGATTCACTCTTTTCCATTGGGTGAGGATTTGTTGAATTGAAATTTGAATTGTACTAGAAGTATGTAAAAATGCAGAGAAGTAGAAGAATATAGTATACAATGTTTCATATATAGATGTTAAAGCTTAATTTTTAACATAACTAAAGTTTTTTACCCATACTAATGATGCTCTAGATGTTTTAAAAAACATTTAAATGAATGAATTTGTAATATGAATATTCTCATAGGCTTGATTAGAAATATTTTCTTTTATTAGTGGTCAGGTGGGTTCTCGAAGTCCTTCTATGATTAGTAATGATTCTGAAACCTTAGAAGAGTGTATGGTGTGCTCAGATATGAAGAGAGATACTCTTTTTGGCCCATGTGGACATATTGCTACCTGTTCTTTGTGTTCTCCACGAGTCAAGAAATGCCTCATCTGTAAAGAACAAGTTCAATCCAGGACAAAGGTAGTATGTTTTTAATATAGCATTTTATTATTTTTTTGAAGTTCTTTAAGACTACAGTTAATGATAAATAAGATTATATGATGCCACGTGTCTTTTAATTTTGTTCTTCCTAAGACTGATCTAAATATGGGAATGTATAATTTATACATTTATCAAGACACCAATTGAAATATGTAGACTACAGTACTAGTTAAAAATAAAAGTAATCTACTGTTTTACTTTCAAAGCGCCTTATAACCTAAAGATGTATTTAATTCCACTTTGTGTTGTAGTTACTTGTATATTGCACCTTTTTTGAGTACATGGATTGTTTTGTATTCCTCTTTGTAAAAGACTAGTTGATTTTTTTCAGTAGAATATCACACATTCTGGATTTATTTGATTTTTATCATGGTGTTCTTTCATTTGTTTCTATATCCTTTGTGTTTTTGTAAACTGGAAGTTAGATCTAACTGCTTGATTAGGGTCAGCTTAGACATACTGGGCAAGAAAACATCATAGATGATGCTATTCATTTCGTACTGTATCCCACCATTAGGCAAATAAAGTCTGATCATCCTGCAGTTTTTGGTGGTCAAATTCTTTATCTCCTCTGAACGTTTTGTCTCATCTGACTCCTTTTGCTTTTTGAGAAGCAGTATTTTCTGGGTTTCTGATTTCATTTTTTTTTTTCCATGTAACTTAGTGCTTTTCCATCTTACTCATTTTGGTTTACTGAAATAATTGAAAAAAGCAAAGCTCAAAGAAGTACACTGACAGTTGGGTCTTCAACGCAGTTTTCTTGATTCGTAAGTCACTGTTCTTTCCTCTGTGTTAGGATACATAGACAGAATTAAAACCAATGTCTGCAAGGGAGGGTTGACAGAACAGGAAGGTAGAGAGGAAGGATTATGTTGTCACTCATTTTTAGACCAGTTCTGAATTCCAAGAATTAGTAAGGTGTCTGTTTGTATTTTAAGTTATGGAATTTTCAAACCTGTACAAAAGTAGAAAAACTTACATACCCACCAAAGAGATTTGCCAGGTTCATTGCAGAGCCTTCGAATGTAAAGAAATAGCGACCCCAAGTGGTTAAAGGATTGTGAACATCTTCACTGAAGATAAAACAAATTGTAAAACTAGTATTTGGAGAGAGGGAGAATAAACAAGCCTGGTCTCTTTAGCAATTAAAGAAATAAAAATTAAAAATTATGAACTATTATTAGACATTCTTGTCCAATTAGCAAAAATAAACTTTAAATAATGCTAGCTAGGAAAGAGAAATGAGTACTCTCTTAACACTGCAGTTGGCTGAATAAATGGGTTTACATTTTTTTGAGAGACCATCCTGACAATATATATACAAACAGTTACAATAAATATGCTTTGATATTACTAATTCCACTCCTGGGAATGTAATCTGAGGGAAAAAATCCAGAAGGGGAAAAAGTTATGCTTAGAAAATTTTTTATTAATAATAGCTGAATGGGTAACTAAATGATTATTAGATTGGTTTGCTAGATGATTTTAAACTCTTTATCAGTAATTCAGATATGTAGACAGTTGCATCGGGAATCATTTTAAAAACCAACACATCTTTTATATAGAGAGGAGAAGAAAATCATCATGTTTTAAGCACTGATTTTATATTAGGCATTGAACTAGACACTGTACACATAATATCTAATTTACTTTTTTTTAATTGTCACATTTTAATGTTTGACCCGTATTTAGCACATACAGTTCTTAAAATATTTATATGAAGATGCTCCTTAATGCACAAATAAATGGCTAGATCAGTCATAGTTTCACCTCCGTGTCGTCATTGCTCTTGAGACTTTTGTCTGTCTGTCTAGTTGCTAAAGTTTGGGATTTTCACTTCTTTCACCCATACTGTGCCTACTTTTCTTTTTAGCTTATTAGCCAGCCAGATAGCTGACTCACACACCTTTGAAATTTAGCCATGGTCCTCAGCCCTTCCTTTATTTTATTTTGTTTTTAATTAATTTTCATTGGAGTATGGTTGTTTTACAATGTTGTGTTAGCCTCTGCTGCACAACAAAATGAATCAGCCATACACTTAGAGATATCCCCTCCCTTTTGGATTTCCTTCCCTTTTAGGTCACCACAGTGCATTAGGTAGAGTTCCATGTGCTGTACAGTATGTTCCCATCAGTTGTCTATTTTATGCATAGTATCAATAATGTATATGTGTCAATCCCAGTCTCCCAGTTCCATCCACCCCACCCCTTTCCCCCTTGGTATCCATGCATTTGTTCTCTACATCTGTGTCTCTGTTTCTGCTTTGCAAATAAGATCATCTGTACCATTTTTCTAGATTCCACATATATGCATTACTATACAATATTTGCTTTTCTGTTTCTGACTGACTTCACTCTGTATGACAGTCTCTAGGTCCATCCATGTCTCTACAAATGACCCAGTTTCATTCCGTTTTATGGCTAATATTCCATGGTAAATATGTACCACATCTTCTTTATCCACTCCTCTGTTGATGGACATTTTGGTTGCTTCCAGGTCCTGGCTGTTGTAAACAGGGCTGCTATGAACATTGGGGTACATGCGTTTTTTTGAATTATGGTTTTCTCTGGGTATATGCCCAGTAGTGGGATTGTTGGGTCATATGGTAGCTCTATTTTTAGTTTTTTAAGGAACCTCCAATACTGTTTTTCACAGTGCCTGTGTCAGTTTACATTCCCACCAGCAGTATATGATGGTTCCCTTTTCTCCACACCCTCTCCAGCATTTATTGTTTGTAGATTTTTTGATGATGGCCATTCTGACAGGTGTGAGGTGATACCTCATCATAGTTTTGATTGGCATTTGTCTTAATAATTAGTGATGTTGAGCATCTTTTCATGTGTTTGTTGGCTGTCTGTATGTCTTCTTTGGAGAAATGTCTATTTAGGTCTTCCACCCATTTTTTGATTGGGTTGTTTGTTTTTTGGTTATTGAGCCATATGTGCTGCTCGTATATTTTGGAGATTAATCCTTTGTCAGTTGCTTCATTTTCAAATATTTTCTCCCATTCTGAGGGTTGTCTTTTTGTCTCGTTTATGATTTCCTTTGCTGTGCAAAGGTTTTAAGTTTCATTAGGTCCCATTTGTTTATTTCAGCCGTTCTTTTAGAGAGAGGAAAAGCTTTGTTGGGAGCTATGAAGAGTTAGTGTACCTACCTCCAGGCTGTGGGTTCCTTAGTCGCCCATTTCCAGGGTCTTCCTGTCTCTGCTCCCCACTGTGGTTCTGCTAGTGTACTGCTTAGTGTTTGCAGTTTGTGGGCTGGATTTGTGTACTGAAGGTAAACATTCCCTTCGTTATAGTCTGACCTTGACTAGGTCTTAAAGCCTGTATGTATAATCCTAGAGTTGGAAGGAACACCCTGGTCTTGCATCCTATAAGCTGTAGGCGACTGAAATGTGTTTCTTTCAACTGTTTTAAATCAAGTCAGAAACTTAGCAGATATCTTAGATCTCTTCTTCACCATTTTATACATTTTATTAGTTACCAGGTCTTCTTAAATATTTCTCAGAACTCTTTCTTCTACTCTATGTTGCTGTGTCTTACTTAAAATATGCCCTCCTATCTCATAGTTAGAATTGTTCCAGGATATACTTGAATAAGGGCCACCTGAGTCCTCTCCTTGTCTTCTGATTGACACTTTACCACCTTGTGAAGAAGGATTGTTCTTTATTGTTCAGATTTTTAAAAAGCTGCAGCTCTACAGTGTTAGGTAATTTGTTAGTATTGGAGCTGGAATTGGAATGCAGGAACATAAAGATCCTGACCAACCATGTCTTACTGCTTCCCACTAGATTACTACGACTATGTAAATTCTATGTACATAGCAGGGTCTAAGTTGGGAAGGTCCAGTACTGTGGTTGTTTAGGTGAAGTGGTGGTCATCATGTTTGGACAGTAATGTTAAATGACACAGATGGGGTGAATGTGTGTCAGAAAGGAGGAGAATCAGTGAAAGATGGATGTGGGGCCAAGGCAGTAGGCAGGTGGGGGTCAGAGAACCAGAGCAAAGTTAAGAAATAGTTACACACGCAGAACTCAGATTAAGTGGAGAAGAGGAGGAAAATTGAGGGAAATTATGAATAGGTTGTGGAGGACTTGTGGAGATCAGGCGAAAAGAATATTCCAGAGCTCTGGGCTTCAGCCAGTGTGGGGGAATTCCAAGTCCTGGGAAAGGATGAGTTAGGTGGAATTCCTCGGATGTGGGTAAACAGAAAAATCCCCCTTAAGCTTTAGCTGTCTGGCTAATGTGGCTAGAATTTTATGAATATTAGAAATCTATCTTATCTCAGCCATTTGTTCTTTTGATTTTTCTCTCCAAAGTAGTTTTTTTTTTCTTTTTTTGATGTGGACCATTTTTAAAGTCTTTGTTGAATTTGTTACAATATTGCTTCTATTTTCTGTTTCAGGTTTTTTTTGTTTTTTGGCCCTCAAGGCATGTGGGATCTTAGCTCCCTGACCAGGGATCAAACCCACACCCCCCTGCATTGGAAGGCAGAGTCTTAACCACTGGACTGCTAGGGAAGTCCTCAAAGTAATTTAAAAAAAAAAAAAGAAAGAAAGAAAATTGAAGTCTAGTCTGTTCTCCCTGACCTCAGAAGAAATGGAGTTTTTCTGTATCATTCTTTAGGACAGGTAGGGAGACTAAAGTGGAGCTAGACCAGTTTAGCTGGGGTCTTCAAAGATGTGAAAATGAGTAACCAAGAAAGTAGAGGACAGAGGAGAAGTGTGTGTTAAATTCTTCTTTGCAGGAGTGTTTCCTTATAGAGGAGAAATACATTTGGATACAGAAGGAACTGTTAGAGTCACTAGATGTATTTGTAGATGTTTACGCTTTTGCTGTAACCTCTCTTTTGCAGATTGAAGAATGTGTGGTATGCTCTGACAAGAAAGCAGCTGTTCTTTTTCAGCCTTGCGGACACATGTGTGCTTGTGAGAGTAAGTAGCCCATACAGAACTTCCTCAGAATTATTATAAAAGTAGAAAGTGAAACAAATTATGTCTTTGAATTACTTTTTTAATAACTCATGAACAGAGGAGTTGGTGGGCCTCTAGAACCCTCCATCTGTTCTCTGTACAAGAGTGTCACCTCTTTCCC